TATATGCCCATGTCATGCTGACTTATTGTGAAGTACAACCACAGTTTTACTTTTAGTCAAAAGTGGCAGTTCAAAGCTAGATATCTATATATTATAAATAATTATTCACAGAGTCACAATTATAAATGATTTATTTTTGCTTCAGAGGCAATCATATCACAAGAACAGACATATTAATATTATTTGAAAATGATACGAATATTTGGTAAAAGATTACATGATAACAGGGTACGCCTACGAATAGGCCTACTTGGTAAAAAAACCAAACAAAAACATATAAAACACTGTACATATATTAAGTATTTTTAGTACAATGAACATGAAGCTAGTATCATTGAAATGTGTCCGTGAATATCAACAAAACAAGAACCATTATATCATAATTATACAATTAGTCCAATATCTTCATATCATATCAATGAATCTTGTATCCTTATTAGAATATTGTATCGAAGAACATAGTATCATTGCTTTGCATTAATGAATTTAGTTTCCTTATATTGTAGCCTATCAATTAGTCTAGTATCGTTATATTGTATCAATTTGTCTAGTATCTTTATATTGCATCAATTAAGTCTAGTATCATTATTTAGTATCAATTTGTCTAGTATCAGTACGTTGTATCAGTCAGCTAGTATCGTTATATTGTAGATCTATGAATCTAGCTAGTGCCACCAGTTCACCCAGACTTAGTAATAATAATAATAATAATAATAATAATAATAATAATAATAATAATAATAATAACCATAAGTGGGCCTTGTGGCTTTCTAACAATTATGTTTAACAATTAACAACGTACTATTATGTTTATTCATGCATATCTTTGATTTTTCTGTAACAAACTTGATTTTTCTGTGAATCAAGCAAGCAGATTTGATTCTTCAAAATCATTAACATGTAGGTCTATTTTATTTTGATTTCGAGAACGAAATTATATCACAGGAATAATAATATATGACAAACTCTGCGAAATAAATGATGAGCGAAATAATATTATGGTAAAAAAAAAAACATAAATAAAAACACGAAATCTACGTAGTGAAAAATTGAACCAAAAATACACTTCGACTTTTTAAAAGTACATTCATTATTTATTTCACATTGAACTATTAAATTATTAGGCTATTATTATTTATGCCCAGCACAAACATAAAATAAAATTGAAATGACACATTTTAAAAATATACACACAATTCTATTCCAACAATTTGGTAAAAACATGTAGGCCTAGATATATTTTTAATAGACCTAGTCTTCAGGCCATGCTCAAGTTGTTTCCCAGGTTTTACAGTCAGGTAATTATAGGAGGTTATACAGTAAGGTTGTTGTAATTAAGGTCCTTAACCCTATCCGTGCACCCTGGGGTCATTTTATACACCCGGGGTTGTATTCTTCACATTTTAGAATGCTTCTAGTATGAAGATCTCTTTGAAACTTTCAGTATTTCTCAAAAAAGTTATTTTGACAGACTTCTATGCAAAGCGTACCTTTCGGATTAACGAGTAAATTTCCTCTTTGGAAAGTGGTGGCACAGAGTTCCCCACGTTGTATGGATACATTAGTAAAACACGATGTACGGATAGGGTTAAGTGGTGGCACAGAGTTCCCCACGTCGTATGGATACATTAGTAAAACACGATGTACGGATAGGGTTAAGTGGTGGCACAGAGTTCCCCACGTTGTATGGATACATTAGTAAAACACGATGTACGGATAGGGTTAAGTGGTGGCACAGAGTTCCCCACGTTGTATGGATACATTAGTAAAACACGATGTACGGATAGGGTTAAGGTTAAACCAAAGAGTCAACATGATAATAAAATTGCACCTCCAGGTCATGGATTAAAAATCGCCCCCCCCCCCTAAAAAAATGTTAAAAGAATAGATAAAATGACTAGATTGTCGATCTAAATTAAAAAAAAAAAAAAATAAATTAAATAATTAATAAATTAATTAATAACTAAATAATTAATTAATTAAATAATTAAATAATTAATTAAGGGAATAAATAAATAAATAAATACGTAAATAAATAAATAAATAAATATATACCTTAATACCTACCTACCTAATAAATTACCAATAGATAGCTACCCCCCCCCCCCCCAAACAAAACCAGACAAAACCTAAGCTTATAGGCATATAAAATAATTTTTAAAAACGTAAAAACTGATTACCGTATCACGAACAAAAGATACAGAAAATGACTCACATCTTGTGAAGTGATTTTTGAGAAAAGTGTTTGAAATATAATTCCCCTTAATTCTACCACAGAAATCAACCCACATCCCCGAGGTGACTAAACAGGTTTGTTATGATTCACAATGTTAATTACAGACATCTGCTGTTACAACAAGACGGCGACAATATAAATTATGTCAAGGGTGTTGACTAAATGAGTTACTTCACAGATTCGAGCCCTGTGGAAATCGCTACTTTACGCTTATAGGTGAAGTTTTTACAATTTATAAGTAAGAAATAATGTAAGGCATGTTTTACTTAAAGAATATGACATCAATAGAAAATCTACAAATTTGACCCTAGATCTAGAGTCGATTTTTGGCCTATGTCTCCACTTGTGGATTGTGAGAAGTAACTCATTTTGTCAGCACGTCTCACATATTATATTAACAGCTGAGTTTGACAAGCGTTATTATTATTTACAAAAACATTCATGAAAATTATAATATAGATCTGAGGGTATGTACAAGAAAGAAATTAATTACAAAAACCTGAGAAAGGCAGATATTGCCCTACCTACAGGAGAAGTTTGGTTTCAATGGTGTGTATGTTTATTTCAAGATGATAACATGGCTAGGAGCAGCAAGAACAACAGACACAATTGCTG